AACGATTTGAGTTCTAGAAATCTAGATATCTAGAACTCTAGAATTTCTAGAAATCTAGATACACATAGACACATGTCTTAGCTATAATCTCTGTAAATTTTGAGTTTATTGAAGCCTGATTAGTCTAATTAATTACTACGGACCATTGTACAGCGTATCCATACAGCGCTGAACTTAAGCGGCAGCGGTGTGGATCCATTTGGAAACAACATGGAGTCAAATCCTGAGTTGGCGCAACTCTCTGTATATAGGGACTCTAGTATAATGTTAATCTGTACGCCATCTATTGATGAATAGAATTTTTATAAATTTTTAACTTTTTAACTTTTTTGAAATTTTGTTTCAGCCATAATCACCTCCCAGACGTGCTGATTCTAAAAATATATTTAGTTTTCCTCTAGGCTGCGGAGTTCTCTAGTTATGCGCGAACACACAAATTCGGCTGAACAACTTTATATATATAGATTGTTTGTTGAAACCCATTTGTAATTATTTTGTGAAATTTAATTATGTGTTCCAATAAATTACAGATTGCAAATGATCAAGATCCTGCAGAAATATGGGAAAATAAAGAGGTTTGATTTCCTTTACCACAAAGCGGGTCCATTGTCAGGAAAACCCAGAGGCTATTCATTTGTGTCATTTATAAGGAAGGAGGATGCTGAGAGGGCAGTGTTAGATCTGGATAGAAAGTTTGTTCTTGGGAGGAAGCTAACTGTGAGGCCTGCACATGAAAGAGATTTCCAGGTAGTGTGTCTCAGATATTTTATTGTGGAAATAGTCTCTGTGTAGGTCATATTGCAGGCAGCATATGGCAGGTGCAAGTACAAATACCTTCAACCGAGCTTTTAACTTTTCCAGAACACCAAGAAGTTGACACTAGGTACGCCGCTACCTCAAGGGCCTGCAACTAAAATAAGGTATGAAAGAAATGAGGCGAAACAATATTAATCATATGCCTTGCTCATATATACAAAATGTTACAATTAAAAGTGACACTGACAATAAACCGGCCCTTTAGGCAAAGGTTTACTGTCATTGTTAAATCACACTGATTAATATGTTTTACATTTAGTAATTAGTACATTTAGACTAGTTACTTGTATGTAATAATTGTATGCCCACCATTCTTGTAAGTTCTTAGGCAGATGGAAAAACAGGATTTGGTTGCAAGTATAATGTGTAATTAACTGTGTAATGTAGGGGATTTTATTTCAACATATTTTGCATCACCACAGAATCATCAAAGCTTGTAAATTTATGGATCAAATTAGCTTTTAATGAACCTATATGGGTCGCATGGACCCCGAAATAAGCCAAAATTCAGCAATATCTTTAACTCAATCTTTAGTTGAAATATTAACTTACGCATTTGAACGGCTTATATTTTACAGGGTATTCATCGGGAAATACTTAAGTCTTTCTTTTTGACTTATTTTGCCGTGCTTTTCTTTAACCATGCCAGGAATATATATATTTATGCTTTCAAGTATGCACGTTTTCATGGGCTTAATCTATCTTTGTAGTTACATTATTATATTACTGAAATCGTGTAATATGTAGTCTTCCAAATTTCAGCTCAATCAAGCAAGTTTTTAATGTGGATAAGTATGTGATCCCTCCCTTCAGTAAAGTCACCTCACTTTGTTTTATCTCTTAGTAATGATACAATGATACGAGCAATCGAGGCAAAACTAAAAGCAATGGAACAGACTCCAAGTGATTTTTCGGTCTGTACGAGACAGGAGAGCCAGAGTCAATCCAGCGACAGCACTAAAACTCCATCTTTCAGTAAATCAGCATCTACATGTCAGAGGTAGCAATGTACCACATATACTTACGTTGTATCTGTGTAGCTGGCGAAGTTTCGGTGTCAGGTTGGGTAAACATGTCTGTTATGACTATACATATTATTGGAATTTACATGTAAGCAAACATAAATACTCACCCATCTCAAGCGGTAGCTTTTGTAAGCCGATATAGTATACGTAATGTACAGTGTAGTGTTAAAGGCTCACAATGCGCATCCAAACGCTAATTAAAGTTTAGTTTCAAGTTGAAGTTAATTACTTTACTCTTTAGTTTAGTCATCATAGTCAAGCTGACCTTTTGAGTTAAGCGGTAAACCGCGACACGACTACACAACTGTACGGGTGCGTATGTATCACAACAACAGATTTATACACATGATAGATACACTATCATGACATATTTCCTATTCTATATCTATGATACACATAACCATACGAATGCATACCATACCACTGATCTCTATAATATAATCATAGAGATATATATAGAGATATATATGATTATATTATAGAGATCAGTGTACCATACTCGTAAACAACGGAACTTACGGAAGCGAGCACAGACAGGAAGCTACTACAAAGTTGGTATGCGACCAGTTACCCATCGTACAATGCCTTAACGTTATACGACCAAGAGCACTGGATCATAGAAATAGAATAGAGACTTCTATTCTAGTTCTATGCACTGGATATGTCTCCACTACGGTTGGCCATCATACTCATAAATAATCATTTTTATCGCGGTAAAATTATTCCCTTATTAACCAATTATAAGCACATCATTTAACTGTGGTTAAATTATTACTTTTTACCCAGCGAGACGAGCGCCGGCCATTCCTATAACATTAACATTAACATAAGTGGAGGATGCTGCGAGCAAAGTGAACGCTTTAGATAAGATTCTACTATGCAAATGAAATCTGTCGCGGTCCCACCCATGTCCATATATGACCTCCCGGTCCCATCCATGTCCGCGGTCCCCACTACAGTCCATTTTGTGCGCGTTAGAGTAGCCGAAGAAAATTATCTTGATGATGATGATGCCGATGCACATGATGATGCTGATGACGATGCATGCTTATGATGATGCTGATGAGGATGCCGATGACAATGACGATGCCGATGCCGATTCTGCTGATGACGATGCTGATGACGATACCAATGACGATGCCAATGATGATGGTGCCCATAGATATCCAATAAACAAGTGTGTTGAAGTGGTTTATATGGTTTATGGGATATCTATGATGATACCGATGATGACGATGATGACGACACACACAAACGCGTACACACGTACCACTGATCTCTATTATACTAACTAGTTAGTATAATAGAGATCAGTG